GTGAAATCAAGTCATGGGAGGGAGACATGGCATGAGAGTGAAATCAAGTCATGGGAGTGAGACATGGCATGAGAGTGAAATCAAGTCATGGGAGGGAGACATGGCATGAGAGTGAAATCAAGTCATGGGAGGGAGACATGGCATGAGAGGGAAATCAAGTCATGGGAGGGAGACATGGCATGAGAGTGAAATCAAGTCATGGGAGGGAGACATGGCATGAGAGGGAAATCAAGTCATGGGAGGGAGACATGGCATGAGAGGGAAATCAAGTCATGGGAGGGAGACATGGCATGAGAGGGAAATCAAGTCATGGGAGGGAGACATGGCATGAGAGGGAAATCAAGTCATGGGAGTGAGACATGGCATGAGAGTGAAATCAAGTCATGGGAGGGAGACATGGCATGAGAGGGAAATCAAGTCATGGGAGGGAGACATGGCATGAGAGGGAAATCAAGTCATGGGAGGGAGACATGGCATGAGAGGGAAATCAAGTCATGGGAGGGAGACATGGCATGAGAGTGAAATCAAGTCATGGGAGGGAGACATGGCATGAGAGTGAAATCAAGTCATGGGAGGGAGACATGGCATGAGAGTGAAATCAAGTCATGGGAGTGAGACATGGCATGAGAGTGAAATCAAGTCATGGGAGGGAGACATGGCATGAGAGTGAAATCAAGTCATGGGAGGGAGACATGGCATGAGAGTGAAATCAAGTCATGGGAGGGAGACATGGCATGAGAGTGAAATCAAGTCATGGGAGTGAGACATGGCATGAGAGTGAAATCAAGTCATGGGAGGGAGACATGGCATGAGAGTGAAATCAAGTCATGGGAGGGAGACATGGCATGAGAGTGAAATCAAGTCATGGGAGGGAGACATGGCATGAGAGTGAAATCAAGTCATGGGAGTGAGACATGGCATGAGAGTGAAATCAAGTCATGGGAGGGAGACATGGCATGAGAGTGAAATCAAGTCATGGGAGGGAGACATGGCATGGGAGTGAAATCAAGTCATGGGAGTGAGACATGGCATGAGAGTGAAATCAAGTCATGGGAGGGAGACATGGCATGAGAGTGAAATCAAGTCATGGGAGGGAGACATGGCATGAGAGTGAAATCAAGTCATGGGAGGGAGACATGGCATGAGAGTGAAATCAAGTCATGGGAGTGAGACATGGCATGAGAGTGAAATCAAGTAATGGGAGGGAGACATGGCATGAGAGTGAAATCAAGTCATGGGAGTGAGACATGGCATGAGAGTGAAATCAAGTCATGGGAGGGAGACATGGCATGAGAGTGAAATCAAGTCATGGGAGGGAGACATGGCATGAGAGTGAAATCAAGTCATGGGAGGGAGACATGGCATGAGAGTGAAATCAAGTCATGGGAGGGAGACATGGCATGAGAGTGAAATCAAGTCATGGGAGGGAGACATGGCATGAGAGTGAAATCAAGTCATGGGAGTGAGACATGGCATGAGAGTGAAATCAAGTCATGGGAGGGAGACATGGCATGAGAGGGAAATCAAGTCATGGGAGTGAGACATGGCATGAGAGTGAAATCAAGTCATGGGAGGGAGACATGGCATGAGAGTGAAATCAAGTCATGGGAGGGAGACATGGCATGAGAGTGAAATCAAGTCATGGGAGGGAGACATGGCATGAGAGTGAAATCAAGTCATGGGAGGGAGACATGGCATGAGAGTGAAATCAAGTCATGGGAGGGAGACATGGCATGAGAGTGAAATCAAGTCATGGGAGGGAGACATGGCATGAGAGTGAAATCAAGTCATGGGAGGGAGACATGGCATGAGAGTGAAATCAAGTCATGGGAGGGAGACATGGCATGAGAGTGAAATCAAGTCATGGGAGGGAGACATGGCATGAGAGTGAAATCAAGTCATGGGAGTGAGACATGGCATGAGAGTGAAATCAAGTCATGGGAGGGAGACATGGCATGAGAGTGAAATCAAGTCATGGGAGGGAGACATGGCATGAGAGTGAAATCAAGTCATGGGAGGGAGACATGGCATGAGAGGGAAATCAAGTCATGGGAGGGAGACATGGCATGAGAGGGAAATCAAGTCATGGGAGTGAGACATGGCATGAGAGTGAAATCAAGTCATGGGAGGGAGACATGGCATGAGAGGGAAATCAAGTCATGGGAGGGAGACATGGCATGAGAGGGAAATCAAGTCATGGGAGGGAGACATGGCATGAGAGGGAAATCAAGTCATGGGAGGGAGACATGGCATGAGAGTGAAATCAAGTCATGGGAGGGAGACATGGCATGAGAGTGAAATCAAGTCATGGGAGGGAGACATGGCATGAGAGTGAAATCAAGTCATGGGAGTGAGACATGGCATGAGAGTGAAATCAAGTCATGGGAGGGAGACATGGCATGAGAGTGAAATCAAGTCATGGGAGGGAGACATGGCATGAGAGTGAAATCAAGTCATGGGAGGGAGACATGGCATGAGAGTGAAATCAAGTCATGGGAGTGAGACATGGCATGAGAGTGAAATCAAGTCATGGGAGGGAGACATGGCATGAGAGTGAAATCAAGTCATGGGAGTGAGACATGGCATGAGAGTGAAATCAAGTCATGGGAGGGAGACATGGCATGAGAGTGAAATCAAGTCATGGGAGGGAGACATGGCATGAGAGTGAAATCAAGTCATGGGAGGGAGACATGGCATGAGAGGGAAATCAAGTCATGGGAGGGAGACATGGCATGAGAGTGAAATCAAGTCATGGGAGGGAGACATGGCATGAGAGTGAAATCAAGTCATGGGAGGGAGACATGGCATGAGAGTGAAATCAAGTCATGGGAGGGAGACATGGCATGAGAGTGAAATCAAGTCATGGGAGGGAGACATGGCATGAGAGTGAAATCAAGTCATGGGAGTGAGACATGGCATGAGAGTGAAATCAAGTCATGGGAGGGAGACATGGCATGAGAGTGAAATCAAGTCATGGGAGGGAGACATGGCATGAGAGTGAAATCAAGTCATGGGAGGGAGACATGGCATGAGAGTGAAATCAAGTCATGGGAGGGAGACATGGCATGAGAGTGAAATCAAGTCATGGGAGGGAGACATGGCATGAGAGTGAAATCAAGTCATGGGAGGGAGACATGGCATGAGAGTGAAATCAAGTCATGGGAGGGAGACATGGCATGAGAGTGAAATCAAGTCATGGGAGTGAGACATGGCATGAGAGTGAAATCAAGTCATGGGAGGGAGACATGGCATGAGAGTGAAATCAAGTCATGGGAGGGAGACATGGCATGAGAGTGAAATCAAGTCATGGGAGTGAGACATGGCATGAGAGTGAAATCAAGTCATGGGAGGGAGACATGGCATGAGAGTGAAATCAAGTCATGGGAGGGAGACATGGCATGAGAGTGAAATCAAGTCATGGGAGTGAGACATGGCATGAGAGTGAAATCAAGTCATGGGAGGGAGACATGGCATGAGAGTGAAATCAAGTCATGGGAGGGAGACATGGCATGAGAGTGAAATCAAGTCATGGGAGGGAGACATGGCATGAGAGTGAAATCAAGTCATGGGAGGGAGACATGGCATGAGAGGGAAATCAAGTCATGGGAGTGAGACATGGCATGAGAGTGAAATCAAGTCATGGGAGGGAGAAATGGCATGAGAGTGAAATCAAGTCATGGGAGGGAGACATGGCATGAGAGTGAAATCAAGTCATGGGAGGGAGACATGGCATGAGAGTGAAATCAAGTCATGGGAGTGAGACATGGCATGAGAGTGAAATCAAGTCATGGGAGGGAGACATGGCATGAGAGTGAAATCAAGTCATGGGAGGGAGACATGGCATGAGAGGGAAATCAAGTCATGGGAGTGAGACATGGCATGAGAGTGAAATCAAGTCATGGGAGGGAGAAATGGCATGAGAGTGAAATCAAGTCATGGGAGGGAGACATGGCATGAGAGTGAAATCAAGTCATGGGAGGGAGACATGGCATGAGAGTGAAATCAAGTCATGGGAGGGAGACATGGCATGAGAGTGAAATCAAGTCATGGGAGGGAGACATGGCATGAGAGTGAAATCAAGTCATGGGAGTGAGACATGGCATGAGAGTGAAATCAAGTCATGGGAGGGAGACATGGCATGAGAGTGAAATCAAGTCATGGGAGGGAGACATGGCATGAGAGTGAAATCAAGTCATGGGAGGGAGAAATGGCATGAGAGTGAAATCAAGTCATGGGAGGGAGACATGGCATGAGAGTGAAATCAAGTCATGGGAGGGAGACATGGCATGAGAGTGAAATCAAGTCATGGGAGGGAGACATGGCATGAGAGTGAAATCAAGTCATGGGAGGGAGACATGGCATGAGAGTGAAATCAAGTCATGGGAGGGAGACATGGCATGAGAGTGAAATCAAGTCATGGGAGGGAGACATGGCATGAGAGTGAAATCAAGTCATGGGAGGGAGACATGGCATGAGAGTGAAATCAAGTCATGGGAGGGAGACATGGCATGAGAGTGAAATCAAGTCATGGGAGTGAGACATGGCATGAGAGTGAAATCAAGTCATGGGAGTGAGACATGGCATGAGAGTGAAATCAAGTCATGGGAGGGAGACATGGCATGAGAGTGAAATCAAGTCATGGGAGGGAGACATGGCATGAGAGTGAAATCAAGTCATGGGAGGGAGACATGGCATGAGAGTGAAATCAAGTCATGGGAGTGAGACATGGCATGAGAGTGAAATCAAGTCATGGGAGGGAGACATGGCATGAGAGTGAAATCAAGTCATGGGAGTGAGACATGGCATGAGAGTGAAATCAAGTCATGGGAGGGAGACATGGCATGAGAGTGAAATCAAGTCATGGGAGGGAGACATGGCATGAGAGTGAAATCAAGTCATGGGAGTGAGACATGGCATGAGAGTGAAATCAAGTCATGGGAGGGAGACATGGCATGGGAGGGAAGCATGGGCTAGTTAGTAGTTGTCTATTGCTGGCAAACCTACAGCTCTTGGAGGGCCGTGAGGGAGCCTATGGTTGGGGGGATGGCACCAGACAGCTGGTTATAGGAAAGATGGCTGCGATGGGGACATGCAGGTCATGGGAGATGGAGGGACGTGCGGGAAGGCATTGACCTGGCACGTGCCACACATGGGGATGTAAGGTATGGTGATGGCATGGGAGGCTTTAGAAAAAGGACGTTCAAGGCAAACCGGACACATTTACTAGCCAATTCTGTTTGGGTCGAACGTATTCAAGTTCGCCTGAACATGTTCGTGTTCGTTTCGTCGCGGGGAGCCGAGCCACGTCGAACACAAACAAGTTCGTGTGCGACATTGGCTGCAGCGAGCACATTCGTGTTTGTCTCGTTGCTCACGAGACTCGGGTCCCGCGGCAGCAAAAATCAATTCGTCGCAAGAGGGACATTGAGCTCATTGAGCTCACCCTCTCTCTTGCCTAGCTCCGCCACCTAACCCATCCTCTGTCGCTCGTCTACTACACTTGACTTTATTTAACTCCAACAAGTACTGGTTTGTGACATTTCGCCGTCAGTTACGCGCACCTCCTGGCACTGGCATGGATGAAGCAGGTGGCGGGACTGGCTTGGGGGGGTGGGTGGAGGAAACGTGCCAGAATTCGAGTTTTACTCAATTGGACCTTTTAGCCACTAAACAATGTCAATGTCAAAACTCATTTTGCCAGTAAACCCACGTAATTTTCACTCAGAAATGTTGCGTGACTGTAATAATAGAACAAGTCGAACCGAACACAAACTGTTCACCGCAAACATGCAAATGTTTGGGGCGAACATGCTAGTGTTCGACAGACTCTAACACCCCATCTTAGCACTCTGTTCGGGCAAACCGAACATGTTCGGTTCGACCACATGAGGTGTTCGACACGTGCTCTACCCAGACACGTTCACGTTCACGTTTTGCTCATGCCTACATGGGAGTGAGACATGAGACATGACATAGGAGTGAGCCACATGGCACGGGAGGGACGCGCGAGTTGTGAGGTCGTCTAGGGCTGCTTGGTTTCCAATGACCAGCACTTACATGTATAGGAGGGCCGTGAGGGAACCTACGTCGGGAGGAATGTCACCAGATAGCTGGTTGTTGGAGAGTTGACTGCGAGGGAGACATGCGGGCCATGGGAGGGCCGTGGAAGCACTGACTGGTGCACCATGTATGTTCCAAAGGGTAGTTCCTCCCATAACATGTCCATACTCCACCACACTCATCCACAGTGAAGTGTGGTCACAGATGGCATTACCGCTTGTCCACTCATCCCATGCCCACCTTGCTGGCCCCTACGATGTGCCATATGCTACCGTCTAGGCTACCGTTCCAGCTGACCCACATGTGCAATATGAGGCTCCACTTCCTAGCTTGGCAAGGTTTTCTAGCCTTTCCCTCAACTTTCAGGTGTTGCAGCTAGCCTCAAGAGTTCATTTATACATGTATGTATGACTTCACCACTTCACTAGAAATCATACCTGGACAAGGACATTGGTTTAGTCTCGATAATTTGTACCATCTTCACAACTATGGAAATGTCATATTCCCATCGTGTCCTGAAGTTCACCGATCCAATTTCTACAGTGACGTCATGGAGCGAAACATGGCCCACGAGTGAGACAACGCATGAGAGGGGATGAGCAAATGGCGAACACGAACATGTTCGTGTTCGCCTGGGCTCGAACATGGCCGTTCGGCGAACCGAACACTGTTCGGTTCGCCTAACACTTTACACCAGAAAGGGTGTTCGAAGTTCGCCAAGAGAGGCGAACATTTCGAACGTTTTGGCGAACACGAACACGTTCGCCCAGAACATGTTCGCGTTCGCCTTAAAGCCGGCGGCCCAAATTGTTCATGCTTTTAAAAGTTGACCAGAGGGAGTTTTTCTGGTGTGGGCTTTGGCGAGAGTTTCCGATTTCGTCTAGGTTCGTTTTTTTCGCGAGACCCAGCCAACCCTCGGTTTTCCCCCTGGTGAGTGAATCTGTCTTCGAAAGTCCCAAATTGCAAGTGCGTGACTTTCAAAAGCTTGGACACTCAACTTCGTCAAGTTTTAAAAACTTGACCCTCGCGGCCCGCAATTTGGGACGCGGGCTTTAAAGGACCTTCTTAGATCCAAGTAGAGTGAAATCCAAATGTTTCACATTCCCTCCCCCCACCCCCCAAGCCAGTCCCGCCCTGCTTCATCCATACTAGTGCCAGCGTGTGACGGCGAAAGGCTAGATCTGCACTTAAGCAACGGCGAAATGCTAGATCTACGCTTAAGCAACGGCGAAATGCTAGATCTGAGCTTAAGCAACGGCGAAATGCTTGATCCGCACTTAAGCAACGGCGAAATGCTAGATCTATACTTAAGCAACGGCGAAATGCCTTGATCCGCACTTAAGCAACGGCGAAATGCCTTGATCCGCACTTAAGCAGCGGCGAAATGCCTTGATCTGAGCCCAAACACCAAGGCCCGCGACCTAAAAATTGGTCGCGGGCCTATTCGTCGACGAACACCAATGTGTTCGTCCCGTGTCGAACAGGAACACGTTCGTGTTCGACGCGCCTCGGCCAGCTGAGCCGGGCGAACGGCGAACGTGTTCGGGCGAACACCGAACACGTTCGCCCCGAACAATTTAGGCCAAAAAAAAATCCTGTTCGGTTCGCCTCGAATTGCTCATCCCTCCGAGGCAAGGGTTGCTTGGTCGTCTGTGGCTGGTCGGTTGCCAATGACTACTACACTTACAGGGATTTGAGGGATGTGAGGGCGCCTATGGTGGGTGGAATGGGACCAGACAGGTGGTTGTTGGAGAGTTGGTTGTGATGAGGACATGCGGGTCATGGGAGACGGAGGGCGATGGAGCCATTCACATGACATGTAGGGGGGTATCGTGACGTCATGGGAGTGAAATGTGTGAGTTGGTAGACGAAGAAAGACGGCACTAGCCTTCAAGTACATCAAGGGTGGGTTGAGGAAGGCTAGGGAATGGATGGGATACGAATCCAACGAAATCTCCAATGATGACTGGTTGGATTAAGACGGAATCCCAACTCGATAAGGTTGGGATTACAAATCCACACCCAACCTACAAATAACCTATGTGTAATATAGTACGCAGATGTTGACAGCATAATTCTAACAATATGAAGAGACGGGACGGATACTTGGCATCGGAGGGAAACATGGACTGTGTGGTCATATATGGCTGCTTGGCTTCCAATGACCAGCACACTCACATGTACAGGAGGGCCGTGAGGGCACCTATGTCGGGAGGAATGGCACCAGATAACTGGTTGCTGGAGAGTTGGCTGCGAGGGAGACATGCGGGTCGTTGGGGTATTGACATGATGCGTGGGGGGTATTCTAATGGCATAGGAGCGAGGCATTGCATGTGGGTGCAACATGGCATGTGATCAAGACATGCCATTGGAGCGAGACATGGGAAGGATACATCTGTAGTTTGGACGAACCAATAACTTGGAAGTATAACCTTGCCCGCACCAGTAAAACTTTCAAGTCACATGCACACCTCCGTGCAATATAGTTATTCCCCATATAGAAACCGCGTGAACTGAGATAATGATTGAGACGGCTAAAAAAACTAGGTTGTCTGTAGCAGTTTGTTTACCGATGACTGGGACTCTTACAGTGATAGGAGGGCCGTGAGGGCGCCAATGGTGGGGGGAATGGCACCAGACAGCTGGTTGTTGGAGAGAAGGCTGCGATGGGGACATGCAGGTCATGGGAGATGGAGGGACGTGCGGGCATTGACATGACGCATGGGGAGGCATGGATAGAGACATGCGAGGGAGGCATGGGACTGAAATCAGGATGTGAAGCGCTGAAAAATGCTGGGCGGGTGGGCTAAGGCACATGGACGAGCAGGTGAGAGCACGCAGAGGAACAGATACAACCAATTGGACCTTTTAGCCACTAAACAATGTCAATGTCAAAACTCATTTTGCCAGTAAACCCACGTAATTTTCACTCAGAAATGTTGCGTGACTGTAATAATAGAACAAGTCGAACCGAACACAAACTGTTCACCGCAAACATGCAAATGTTTGGGGCGAACATGCTAGTGTTCGACAGACTCTAACACCCCATCTTAGCACTCTGTTCGGGCAAACCGAACATGTTCGGTTCGACCACATGAGGTGTTCGACACGTGCTCTACCCAGACACGTTCACGTTCACGTTTTGCTCATGCCTACATGGGAGTGAGACACGAGACATGACATAGGAGTGAGCCACATGGCACGGGAGGGACGCGCGAGTTGTGAGGTCGTCTAGGGCTGCTTGGTTTCCAATGACCAGCACTTACATGTATAGGAGGGCCGTGAGGGAACCTACGTCGGGAGGAATGTCACCAGATAGCTGGTTGTTGGAGAGTTGACTGCGAGGGAGACATGCGGGCCATGGGAGGGCCGTGGAAGCACTGACTGGTGCACCATGTATGTTCCAAAGGGTAGTTCCTCCCATAACATGTCCATACTCCACCACACTCATCCACAGTGAAGTGTGGTCACAGATGGCATTACCGCTTGTCCACTCATCCCATGCCCACCTTGCTGGCCCCTACGATGTGCCATATGCTACCGTCTAGGCTACCGTTCCAGCTGACCCACATGTGCAATATGAGGCTCCACTTCCTAGCTTGGCAAGGTTTTCTAGCCTTTCCCTCAACTTTCAGGTGTTGCAGCTAGCCTCAAGAGTTCATTTATACATGTATGTATGACTTCACCACTTCACTAGAAATCATACCTGGACAAGGACATTGGTTTAGTCTCGATAATTTGTACCATCTTCACAACTATGGAAATGTCATATTCCCATCGTGTCCTGAAGTTCACCGATCCAATTTCTACAGTGACGTCATGGAGCGAAACATGGCCCACGAGTGAGACAACGCATGAGAGGGGATGAGCAAATGGCGAACACGAACATGTTCGTGTTCGCCTGGGCTCGAACATGGCCGTTCGGCGAACCGAACACTGTTCGGTTCGCCTAACACTTTACACCAGAAAGGGTGTTCGAAGTTCGCCAAGAGAGGCGAACATTTCGAACGTTTTGGCGAACACGAACACGTTCGCCCAGAACATGTTCGCGTTCGCCTTAAAGCCGGCGGCCCAAATTGTTCATGCTTTTAAAAGTTGACCAGAGGGAGTTTTTCTGGTGTGGGCTTTGGCGAGAGTTTCCGATTTCGTCTAGGTTCGTTTTTTTCGCGAGACCCAGCCAACCCTCGGTTTTCCCCCTGGTGAGTGAATCTGTCTTCGAAAGTCCCAAATTGCAAGTGCGTGACTTTCAAAAGCTTGGACACTCAACTTCGTCAAGTTTTAAAAACTTGACCCTCGCGGCCCGCAATTTGGGACGCGGGCTTTAAAGGACCTTCTTAGATCCAAGTAGAGTGAAATCCAAATGTTTCACATTCCCTCCCCCCACCCCCCAAGCCAGTCCCGCCCTGCTTCATCCATACTAGTGCCAGCGTGTGACGGCGAAAGGCTAGATCTGCACTTAAGCAACGGCGAAATGCTAGATCTACGCTTAAGCAACGGCGAAATGCTAGATCTGAGCTTAAGCAACGGCGAAATGCTTGATCCGCACTTAAGCAACGGCGAAATGCTAGATCTATACTTAAGCAACGGCGAAATGCCTTGATCCGCACTTAAGCAACGGCGAAATGCCTTGATCCGCACTTAAGCAGCGGCGAAATGCCTTGATCTGAGCCCAAACACCAAGGCCCGCGACCTAAAAATTGGTCGCGGGCCTATTCGTCGACGAACACCAATGTGTTCGTCCCGTGTCGAACAGGAACACGTTCGTGTTCGACGCGCCTCGGCCAGCTGAGCCGGGCGAACGGCGAACGTGTTCGGGCGAACACCGAACACGTTCGCCCCGAACAATTTAGGCCAAAAAAAAATCCTGTTCGGTTCGCCTCGAATTGCTCATCCCTCCGAGGCAAGGGTTGCTTGGTCGTCTGTGGCTGGTCGGTTGCCCATGACTACTACACTTACAGGGATTTGAGGGATGTGAGGGCGCCTATGGTGGGTGGAATGGGACCAGACAGGTGGTTGTTGGAGAGTTGGTTGTGATGAGGACATGCGGGTCATGGGAGACGGAGGGCGATGGAGCCATTCACATGACATGTAGGGGGGTATCGTGACGTCATGGGAGTGAAATGTGTGAGTTGGTAGACGAAGAAAGACGGCACTAGCCTTCAAGTACATCAAGGGTGGGTTGAGGAAGGCTAGGGAATGGATGGGATACGAATCCAACGAAATCTCCAATGATGACTGGTTGGATTAAGACGGAATCCCAACTCGATAAGGTTGGGATTACAAATCCACACCCAACCTACAAATAACCTATGTGTAATATAGTACGCAGATGTTGACAGCATAATTCTAACAATATGAAGAGACGGGACGGATACTTGGCATCGGAGGGAAACATGGACTGTGTGGTCATATATGGCTGCTTGGCTTCCAATGACCAGCACACTCACATGTACAGGAGGGCCGTGAGGGCACCTATGTCGGGAGGAATGGCACCAGATAACTGGTTGCTGGAGAGTTGGCTGCGAGGGAGACATGCGGGTCGTTGGGGTATTGACATGATGCGTGGGGGGTATTCTAATGGCATAGGAGCGAGGCATTGCATGTGGGTGCAACATGGCATGTGATCAAGACATGCCATTGGAGCGAGACATGGGAAGGATACATCTGTAGTTTGGACGAACCAATAACTTGGAACTATAACCTTGCCCGCACCAGTAAAACTTTCAAGTCACATGCACACCTCCGTGCAATATAGTTATTCCCCATATAGAAACCGCGTGAACTGAGATAATGATTGAGACGGCTAAAAAAACTAGGTTGTCTGTAGCAGTTTGTTTACCGATGACTGGGACTCTTACAGTGATAGGAGGGCCGTGAGGGCGCCAATGGTGGGGGGAATGGCACCAGACAGCTGGTTGTTGGAGAGAAGGCTGCGATGGGGACATGCAGGTCATGGGAGATGGAGGGACGTGCGGGCATTGACATGACGCATGGGGAGGCATGGATAGAGACATGCGAGGGAGGCATGGGACTGAAATCAGGATGTGAAGCGCTGAAAAATGCTGGGCGGGTGGGCTAAGGCACATGGACGAGCAGGTGAGAGCACGCAGAGGAACAGATACAACCAATTGGACCTTTTAGCCACTAAACAATGTCAATGTCAAAACTCATTTTGCCAGTAAACCCACGTAATTTTCACTCAGAAATGTTGCGTGACTGTAATAATAGAACAAGTCGAACCGAACACAAACTGTTCACCGCAAACATGCAAATGTTTGGGGCGAACATGCTAGTGTTCGACAGACTCTAACACCCCATCTTAGCACTCTGTTCGGGCAAACCGAACATGTTCGGTTCGACCACATGAGGTGTTCGACACGTGCTCTACCCAGACACGTTCACGTTCACGTTTTGCTCATGCCTACATGGGAGTGAGACATGAGACATGACATAGGAGTGAGCCACATGGCACGGGAGGGACGCGCGAGTTGTGAGGTCGTCTAGGGCTGCTTGGTTTCCAATGACCAGCACTTACATGTATAGGAGGGCCGTGAGGGAACCTACGTCGGGAGGAATGTCACCAGATAGCTGGTTGTTGGAGAGTTGACTGCGAGGGAGACATGCGGGCCATGGGAGGGCCGTGGAAGCACTGACTGGTGCACCATGTATGTTCCAAAGGGTAGTTCCTCCCATAACATGTCCATACTCCACCACACTCATCCACAGTGAAGTGTGGTCACAGATGGCATTACCGCTTGTCCACTCATCCCATGCCCACCTTGCTGGCCCCTACGATGTGCCATATGCTACCGTCTAGGCTACCGTTCCAGCTGACCCACATGTGCAATATGAGGCTCCACTTCCTAGCTTGGCAAGGTTTTCTAGCCTTTCCCTCAACTTTCAGGTGTTGCAGCTAGCCTCAAGAGTTCATTTATACATGTATGTATGACTTCACCACTTCACTAGAAATCATACCTGGACAAGGACATTGGTTTAGTCTCGATAATTTGTACCATCTTCACAACTATGGAAATGTCATATTCCCATCGTGTCCTGAAGTTCACCGATCCAATTTCTACAGTGACGTCATGGAGCGAAACATGGCCCACGAGTGAGACAACGCATGAGAGGGGATGAGCAAATGGCGAACACGAACATGTTCGTGTTCGCCTGGGCTCGAACATGGCCGTTCGGCGAACCGAACACTGTTCGGTTCGCCTAACACTTTACACCAGAAAGGGTGTTCGAAGTTCGCCAAGAGAGGCGAACATTTCGAACGTTTTGGCGAACACGAACACGTTCGCCCAGAACATGTTCGCGTTCGCCTTAAAGCCGGCGGCCCAAATTGTTCATGCTTTTAAAAGTTGACCAGAGGGAGTTTTTCTGGTGTGGGCTTTGGCGAGAGTTTCCGATTTCGTCTAGGTTCGTTTTTTTCGCGAGACCCAGCCAACCCTCGGTTTTCCCCCTGGTGAGTGAATCTGTCTTCGAAAGTCCCAAATTGCAAGTGCGTGACTTTCAAAAGCTTGGACACTCAACTTCGTCAAGTTTTAAAAACTTGACCCTCGCGGCCCGCAATTTGGGACGCGGGCTTTAAAGGACCTTCTTAGATCCAAGTAGAGTGAAATCCAAATGTTTCACATTCCCTCCCCCCACCCCCCAAGCCAGTCCCGCCCTGCTTCATCCATACTAGTGCCAGCGTGTGACGGCGAAAGGCTAGATCTGCACTTAAGCAACGGCGAAATGCTAGATCTACGCTTAAGCAACGGCGAAATGCTAGATCTGAGCTTAAGCAACGGCGAAATGCTTGATCCGCACTTAAGCAACGGCGAAATGCTAGATCTATACTTAAGCAACGGCGAAATGCCTTGATCCGCACTTAAGCAACGGCGAAATGCCTTGATCCGCACTTAAGCAGCGGCGAAATGCCTTGATCTGAGCCCAAACACCAAGGCCCGCGACCTAAAAATTGGTCGCGGGCCTATTCGTCGACGAACACCAATGTGTTCGTCCCGTGTCGAACAGGAACACGTTCGTGTTCGACGCGCCTCGGCCAGCTGAGCCGGGCGAACGGCGAACGTGTTCGGGCGAACACCGAACACGTTCGCCCCGAACAATTTAGGCCAAAAAAAAATCCTGTTCGGTTCGCCTCGAATTGCTCATCCCTCCGAGGCAAGGGTTGCTTGGTCGTCTGTGGCTGGTCGGTTGCCAATGACTACTACACTTACAGGGATTTGAGGGATGTGAGGGCGCCTATGGTGGGTGGAATGGGACCAGACAGGTGGTTGTTGGAGAGTTGGTTGTGATGAGGACATGCGGGTCATGGGAGACGGAGGGCGATGGAGCCATTCACATGACATGTAGGGGGGTATCGTGACGTCATGGGAGTGAAATGTGTGAGTTGGTAGACGAAGAAAGACGGCACTAGCCTTCAAGTACATCAAGGGTGGGTTGAGGAAGGCTAGGGAATGGATGGGATACGAATCCAACGAAATCTCCAATGATGACTGGTTGGATTAAGACGGAATCCCAACTCGATAAGGTTGGGATTACAAATCCACACCCAACCTACAAATAACCTATGTGTAATATAGTACGCAGATGTTGACAGCATAATTCTAACAATATGAAGAGACGGGACGGATACTTGGCATCGGAGGGAAACATGGACTGTGTGGTCATATATGGCTGCTTGGCTTCCAATGACCAGCACACTCACATGTACAGGAGGGCCGTGAGGGCACCTATGTCGGGAGGAATGGCACCAGATAACTGGTTGCTGGAGAGTTGGCTGCGAGGGAGACATGCGGGTCGTTGGGGTATTGACATGATGCGTGGGGGGTATTCTAATGGCATAGGAGCGAGGCATTGCATGTGGGTGCAACATGGCATGTGATCAAGACATGCCATTGGAGCGAGACATGGGAAGGATACATCTGTAGTTTGGACGAACCAATAACTTGGAACTATAACCTTGCCCGCACCAGTAAAACTTTCAAGTCACATGCACACCTCCGTGCAATATAGTTATTCCCCATATAGAAACCGCGTGAACTGAGATAATGATTGAGACGGCTAAAAAAACTAGGTTGTCTGTAGCAGTTTGTTTACCGATGACTGGGACTCTTACAGTGATAGGAGGGCCGTGAGGGCGCCAATGGTGGGGGGAATGGCACCAGACAGCTGGTTGTTGGAGAGAAGGCTGCGATGGGGACATGCAGGTCATGGGAGATGGAGGGACGTGCGGGCATTGACATGACGCATGGGGAGGCATGGATAGAGACATGCGAGGGAGGCATGGGACTGAAATCAGGATGTGAAGCGCTGAAAAATGCTGGGCGGGTGGGCTAAGGCACATGGACGAGCAGGTGAGAGCACGCAGAGGAACAGATACAACCATACCGTAACCATTCCATCAATGAGTCATGAGACACACAAGGCGATAGTAGGGGTGAGCAAAAAAACGAACACCTGTTCGGTTCGCCTCGAACACGTTCGAGGCGAACCGAACAGGTTTGTTATTTTGGCTTAAAGAGTTCGCTGAACAGTGTTCGAGGTTCGCCCGAACACGCCTTCACAGGCGAACGGCGAACACCTGTTTTTGCTCAAGGTGTTCGCCGAACCGAACAGTGTTCGGTTCGGCAAACGGCTGTGTTCGTGTAGGGGCGAACACGAACACGTTCGTGTTCGCCCCTTGCTCACCCCTAGGCGATAGTGTGGTGTCAGAAAAGGTGAGGTGCCACATGGGAGCATGTGCAGTGCAGGTGCATCTGCACAAAGAATGCACGAGTGATGTGAGGCGCAATTTGATTGACTTTTGAGAAATCTCAAAAGGGTGATGCGAGGCGCTAATGCAATGGCACGCACAGGCCTCTAAGAGCGGTCATGTGTGAGATGGCATCTGGAATGGACTCGCCCAGCGCGTTGTACTGCAAATCACTGCCATTCAGAGAGTGCGAGATGGGGAGTGGGAGAGAGGGAGAGAGGAAGAGACGGAGAGCGGGGGAGAGGGAGAGACAGAGAGTCAGAGAGAAGGAGAGATGGAGACAGGGAGAGGCGAAGACCCGTTAGCCTGCCCTCCAGAGCTCATTATACGTTTTTGGTGTTTACTTCTTTTCAAGTAGCCGAGAGGGAGAGTGAGAGAGAGAAAGCCCTTTGCCTAGCCTCTGCCCTCTCCCCTTGTACTAAAGGCTTTGAACCTCCAATTCGAGCTCACTAGGATCTACAGCATGCATGGTATGCGTTTAAGTACCAGCTCGCACCGTAAACATCTCTCAAGAATCTCAGTTGCTTTGATTATAAATGAATGGGCCTTCGACAACACACCCAAGGATAATAACCCAAGGCTACCAGTGTCGACCTGCTGAAGTGCCTTTGTTTTGACTGACAATAGATCCATCCATATGAACACCGCGTGAAGGGAGTGAAATGATTCTTAGGTGCCAAATATACTATGCTTGGTCGTCTATAGCTGTTTGGTTGCCCATGATAGGGGCACTCACAGGGATTGGAGTGCCGTGAGGGCGCCAATGGCAGGGGGGATGGCACCAGACAGCTGGTTGTTAGAGATATAGCTGCGACGGGGACATGGCAGCATTAACATGACACGTGGGGAGGCATGGTGATGGCATGGGAGTTAGAAATGCAAGGGAGGCATGGAAGTGAAATCAGGATGTGAAGTACTGAAAGCTACTGGGTTTTGCTGTGAAGAGACATGGACGAGCATGGTGAGAGCTAGTGTTGAGTTTTGGGTCTATCCGACCCAACCCAGCTTTAGGCCCGGTTGGGTTAGAAAAACGGATCCGTTCGACCCAGTCGTGTAGGTCCAAATTATCTGGTCGAGTCGGGTCAACCCGATACACAAAATACCCGATACACAAAATCAGGTCAGGTTTGGTATGTCTGACTTGAAGGTTGTGCACGTTAGGTCTGTAGGTCGACGACCCTGCTTTTCCAGCTCCGCTAGGTAAGGTTCCATACTAACCTTACCCAGCGCTTGAAGTATGTAAGTGAATGATTAAGACCACCCCAATCCAAAGAAAAGGGGGGCTACATTCACAGCCAAAGCCAGAGCTAGATCTCACGACCTTGAATCACAGCCCTCGTAGCGAGCTCGCCGCGTCGCAGCAAGGTGAGCACCACGTTGCAGCAAGGTGAGCACCACGTTGCAGCAAGGTGAGCACCACGTTGCAGCAAGGTGAGCACCACGTTGCAGCAAGGTGAGCACCACGTTGCAGCAAGGTGAGCACCACGTTGCAGCAAGGTGAGCACCACGTTGCAGCAAGGTGAGCACCACGTTGCAGCAAGGTGAGCACCACGTTGCAGCAAGGTGAGCACCACGTTGCAGCAAGGTGAGCACCACGTTGCAGCAAGGTGAGCACCACGTTGCAGCAAGGTGAGCACCACGTTGCAGCAAGGTGAGCACCACGTTGCAGCAAGGTGAGCACCACGTTGCAGCAAGGTGAGCACCACGTTGCAGCAAGGTGAGCACCACGTTGCAGCAAGGTGAGCACCACGTTGCAGCAAGGTGAGCACCACGTTGCAGCAAGGTGAGCACCACGTCGCAGCAAGGTGAGCACCACGTTGCAGCAAGGTGAGCACCACGTCGCAGCAAGGTGAGCACCACGTTGCAGCAAGGTGACCACCACGTCGCAGCAAGGTGAGCACCACGTTGCAGCAAGGTGAGCACCACGTTGCAGCAAGGTGAGCACCACGTTGCAGCAAGGTGAGCACCATGTTGCAGCAAGGTGAGCACCACGTTGCAGCAAGGTGAGCACCACGTTGCAGCAAGGTGAGCACCACGTTGCAGCAAGGTGAGCACCACGTTGCAGCAAGGTGAGCACCACGTTGCAGCAAGGTGAGCACCACGTTGCAGCAAGGTGAGCACCACGTTGCAGCAAGGTGAGCACCACGTTGCAGCAAGGTGAACACCACGTTGCAGCAAGGTGAGCACCACGTTGCAGCAAGGTGAGCACCACGTTGCAGCAAGGTGAGCACCACGTTGCAGCAAGGTGAGCACCACGTTGCAGCAAGGTGAGCACCACGTTGCAGCAAGGTGAGCACCACGTTGCAGCAAGGTGAGCACCACGTTGCAGCAAGGTGAGCACCACGTTGCAGCAAGGTGAGCACCACGTTGCAGCAAGGTGAGCACCACGTTGCAGCAAGGTGAGCACCACGTTGCAGCAAGGTGAGCACCACGTTGCAGCAAGGTGAGCACCACGTTGCAGCAAGGTGAGCACCACGTTGCAGCAAGGTGAGCACCACGTTGCAGCAAGGTGAGCACCACGTTGCAGCAAGGTGAGCACCACGTTGCAGCAAGGTGAGCACCACGTTGCAGCAAGGTGAGCACCACGTCGCAGCAAGGTGAGCACCACGTTGCAGCAAGGTGAGCACCACGTCGCAGCAAGGTGAGCACCACGTTGCAGCAAGGTGACCACCACGTCGCAGCAAGGTGAGCACCACGTTGCAGCAAGGTGAGCACCACGTTGCAGCAAGGTGAGCACCACGTTGCAGCAAGGTGAGCACCATGTTGCAGCAAGGTGAGCACCACGTTGCAGCAAGGTGAGCACCACGTTGCAGCAAGGTGAGCACCACGTTGCAGCAAGGTGAGCACCACGTTGCAGCAAGGTGAGCACCACGTTGCAGCAAGGTGAGCACCACGTTGCAGCAAGGTGAGCACCACGTTGCAGCAAGGTGAGCACCACGTTGCAGCAAGGTGAACACCACGTTGCAGCAAGGTGAGCACCACGTTGCAGCAAGGTGAGCACCACGTTGCAGCAAGGTGAGCACCACGTTGCAGCAAGGTGAGCACCACGTTGCAGCAAGGTGAGCACCACGTTGCAGCAAGGTGAGCACCACGTTGCAGCAAGGTGAGCACCACGTTGCAGCAAGGTGAGCACCACGTTGCAGCAAGGTGAGCACCACGTTGCAGCAAGGTGAGCACCACGTTGCAGCAAGGTGAGCACCACGTTGCAGCAAGGTGAGCACCACGTTGCAGCAAGGTGAGCACCACGTTGCAGCAAGGTGAGCACCACGTCGCAGCAAGGTGAGCACCACGTCGCCAGGGGGTGCACGCCTCACCGCACCAGCGTGCGTGCCACGGCGGTGTTGCACGCGCCACTTCGCAGTAGCACGAGCGCCTCAACGTTGCAGCAGTGCGCCTCAACGTTGCAGCAGTGCGCCTCAACGTTGCCGCAGTGCGCGCGCCTAGTAACAGCATCGCTTGCGGAACAGCGCTGCTTCACGACTCGCGTCCGATAGTGAAGTGCAGTTTGTACTTCACTTCCCAACTTGTCAACATTGAATTTCATAACCCCCACCTCAAAAAAAGAACCAACAATGTTGCGCCCAACCAACCCCGCCTCTCATTACCGATCTTCACCGCACAAAATCTAGAAAAGGCCCTTCGCCTCCTATACCTAGATTTTGCAGCAAAATCGCAATGTATTTTGTTCTTCCTATACCTAAACCCTAAACTATTGCAAGTTCTGGTACGGGTCAACATACCAACCCAAGGACGAGCCCACCCGACCCGCTCTCGGGTCACAGTTGACCCGACCCTATAAGCCTGGGACCTGGGTCGGTTCGTCTTTCGCGAGGTCTAGACCCGGGGTCGGGTCGGGTCGGGTCAATGTTCAAGAGCACGCATAGGGACAAATACAACCAGCCGTAACCATTCATGCCATGAGTCCTAAACCGTAATATAGGCTAAGGTCAAGAAAATATCCGTGGAATCCGCCCTGAATTCTATGGGATATGCTTAGAAAGAATGCACTCAGATAAAGTTTGAGCTCAAATACGAGAGCCAAACTCTTCGTCAGCCCTACAATCCATCCTCGCGTCCCCAGCCGCGAGTTGATCCTCATGTTCCCAAGGTTTGTAGTTGTGAGACGGTGTTTTCATTTTGTGCACATCTCCATCCATGCAACAGAAATGTCCCCCTTATGATAACCTAGTGAACTGGGATGTCATTTCAGGCTCTTAAAATCACTGCTTGCTCGTCTATTCCTGCTTGGTTGCCAATAACTGCCACACTTACAGGTATCGGAGGGACGTAAGGGCGCCTATGGCGGGGGGGATGGCACCAGACAGCTGGTTGTTAGAGAGTTGGCTGCGACGAGACGAGGACATGCGGGCCATGGGAGATGGAGGGGTGTGGGGGGGGTATGGTGACAGGATGGGAGTGAGACATGGCATGGGTGAGAGACATGGCATGGGTGAGAGACATGGCATACGATGGAGATATGGGGGGAAAGTCAGGAGGTGGAGCACTGGAAGCTGCTGGGAAGGCACACAGACGAACATGGCCGCACAGAGAGGGACAGATACAACCATGCTGTAACCATTCATGCTATGAGGAATCATACATGGGGAGTGATGGGGTGTTGTGAGAAGAGGTGAGGTGACACATGGAATGGGAGAACGCACAGTGCAGGTGCATCTGCCCTCTAACGAGATCCAAACATAACCTAAACTCGAACATGTTCAGGTCCAACGTATTTGGAGATCCAAACCTTCGATTTGGGTCCCAAAAAAAAAAAATTTTGCAGTATGGGATGTTGAAAGTTTAAACCATATATGTCGAACCTTTTAGTATTCGACCCATAGATGTTTGAGCTCAGTTTGTACAATGACATTTGTTTGGGGGTGCATTTTTGTCTTAGTTTTGGGAGGCAAACTGTGTGGGGGGGGTTGAGGGGTTCAGGGAAACACAGCATGACATTCCTGGGGCGCAAGAGCTCGGATAGCACGAGACACAGTTCGGTCGTTGCAACAATCCCAATTCTTTTCGTACCAGCACAGCATGTACCCAGGACCCGGCCATACAAGGACTGTTAGGGGGAGAAGGGACAGGAGAAGGGCTAAGCGTGGGACGAACGAAGTGACCCGACAGGTGCACTGTACGGCAGTGCATGTGCGCGGTACGGTAGCTCCTGTGCATTCACTGACAAGTGGCCCATGATATGGCCGCAAGGTACACGCATGCCATCCTGTTGCTGTCAGTGCTACGGGATTTGGCAATTGTGGCGGGACTAGGACAGCAGTTGATGATGCCTGCCTCCCCCACTTCCCCATTCCCTCCCACTCTTCTTCCCTCCCTGGCCCCCTCCTCCCTCCCCCACTCTCTCCCTCCCCCACTCCCTCCTTCCTCCACTCCCTCCCTACCCCCTTCCTCCCCTCCCTACCTCCCCCCTCCCTCCCCCCTTCCTATAGCCCATAGATGGCCTTCTTCAGCTTGCACATCCCCCCTCCCTCCAACCCCCCCCCGCTCTCCCACTCTCCTCCCCCCATCTCCCGCCCTCTCTCTCTCTCTCCCTCCCCGCTCTACACGTGCCTCCTGCCTCTCACAGGTAGACAAGCGAGACGAGTGCGCTGAAGGATGCAGGAATGGGGCCCTCCAGGCCGTTGCAGCACAGGTTGCTGCGCGTGGTGCAGCACAGCACACAGAAAGTGGGATGGAGCAGTGCGGGGTGAGGGGGAACAGTGGAGTGGACAGAGGGAGGGAGGGATACGGCTGGTGAGGCGCCTGAAATGGGTTGCTGAAGAGCCCTCCTGGTCGTTGCAGCATGAAGAGGGCATAACGTCATGCATGCAGAGAGGGGGATGGGCACCACCTTGTGAAGAAGGGGGGGGTGTGGAAAATGTTAGGGTTGGTTCGCCCAACCACGGAACCTAAGGCGAAAGTATCTACGACGGCGGAATGACGGCGAAATGGAAGCGCGTGGATGATTCTAGGTGAAACGGTGGAAATCGGCCTACGGCGTGAGAAGGGAGAGAGAAATCGAGAAGGAATGTGTGAGAAGGTGGAAGAAGCATCGAGATTGAAGTTGGCGAGGGGAAATTGTGGTTCGAGCTCGAGGCGTGTTCGAGAAGGTTCCAGATTCGGTCTTGAGGAGTGTTCACCGAATTCGGTTCGGTTGCGTGTGCGACTCGGGGTGAAACGAGGCGCACGCGGTTACTTGGGAAACAAGTGAAGTTACGAATCGCATTTTGTGTCTTGCCTGACTATAAAACTGTTTGTACTCATTCTGGAAATACAACATTGGACAACATTGAGATTCTGAAAATTGCTGAAGTGTGTATTGACAACTTCAAGCAGAGCTGCGCATATCATTGGATTCGGGAGATCGTGGAGAACACGATAGGCGATAGCAAGTAGACTATTGCCGACTAAGGTGCTTACGATCCTAAGAACTGGTATCAGAGCTTGACGAACGGGCTCGTCGATCGTCGCAAATTCACTTGGTGCGCTAAGTGAAATTAGTGGAGAATAGGAGTCGTTCACGCCTACGCTATGGGAGACGAGGCGAGTTCGGGTTCCAGTGTGAGTCTTGGAGACCCGCAGTTGAAGGCTCTTCTCGAGGCCCTTGCGAGTGGCCGATTGGTGGCGAAACCGACGATCGGGCTCAGTGAAGCCCAGCGCTTCAACGGGAGCAACTACAACGTGTGGCGAAAGAAGTTCATTCGAAAGGCAGAGGAGGTGGACCTCTTGCCGTACTACCGTCCCGACGAGGAGACGATGGAGGGAGTTGCGCCTTCCACGACGGATACGAAGGAGAAAATAGCGGCGTTTAAAAAGCAAAGTAAGCAAGCTTTCTTTCAGCTTTGTCATTCAGTTGCCGATGGAATCTCGGTGGATTTGGACCAGTTTGTAGGGGAGCTGAACTCTGCACAGCGAGCGTGGGAGTACTTGGAGTCCACGTACATGGGTACGAACGATGTCAACAAGAAGGCGATTCGGAAGCAACTGCTGACGCTGAGCATGGAGAAAGGCGAGAAAATCATCACCTACATCAACAGGGCGAAAAGCTACAACGACGATTTGCGGGTGATGGGAGCCGCGGAGACGGAGAAAGCAATGATCGACTATATAGTCGATGGACTGCCTAAGGAGTGGGAATCCGACATCGGTATGTTTACGTACCAACCGCCGGAGAGTTTGATGAAGCTGCAGGAGATTCTACAGTCGCTTGAGACGGTTAAGGAGATGAGAAGGAAGAAAGCAGCAGCAGTAGCTAAGGATTTCGACGAGGAGAGGCCAGGTATGGTGAATGCCACGAAGGCGTTTGGAGCATGCTACCAGTGTGGAAAGCGCGGGCATAAGGCGATAAATTGCTACGAGAACCCGCGAAGCAGTAACTATATGGGCAAAGCGATGGAGAACGACAAAGGAGAAAATGCAGGAGCGGAGTGGCAGCAGAAACGAGGTTTTGGCGGCAAGTGTGATTACTGTGGGCGCTACGGGCATCGTGCTGCAGAATGCTACTCCAATCCGAATAGCAGGAGCTACAAGGGTCCGTCGCAGCAGCGGAATGTGGCGGCAAAGGCGAATGTAGCAGAAGCGAACGAAGATGATGTGATCCTTGGAGGAGCGCATCTTGCGAACGTGGTGCGTTTACCAATGGAGGTTCGGCAGACGGACGGACGTGAGAAGACGACATGGTTCATGGACAGCGGATGCACGCGTCACATGACATTCAGGTCAGATTGGATGGAGAATGTGAGGGAGTCGAGTGAGGATTATATACTGCAAGGTAACAGTGCGAAGTTACCAGTGACAGGAGAGGGTGACGTGGTGCTACAGAGTCCGTATGGAGAGATGAAATTGGAGAGTGTGCTCTTGGTTGAGGATTTGAAGGTGAATCTGGTCAGTCAGTCACATCTTGATGACTTGGGGTGCAAGATATTCTATGACAGTGGTGAGGTTACAGTGTTTGGTCCTGAGTGGGAGAAGTATGCGGATGGTTATTTCAGTGACGGTTTCTATGAGATGAACTTGGTCGCGATGAACGATAAGGATGAGATCTGTGAGGATCCTGAGTCTACTGAGGATAATGAGAGTGAGGACTCGGATGATATGGCTGCGAGTGTGGAGGCAGCAGTGAAGCAGGAAGAGGAGATAGTGATCATGGAGGCAGCAGCAGTAAACGGTGGAGATGGAGACGATGTCAACACTTTTGCAGCAGCAATCGTGGTTGAAGATGAAGCAGTAAATGCGAAGTGTGTGGGAGTTGAAGCTGTGAAAGGGGACATCATGGTGAAAGGATCAAAGGTGAATGCAACTGCAAAGGGGCAAGTGCTTAAGAACGAAGAAAGCGTTGAGGGATACGAGACCCGAGAGGTGTTGGGTGTAAAGATGCCGAGGAGAAGCGAGAGCTTAAGAAAATCTCTCAGGGTTTGGATGTCAAGGCGCTCAACTTCAAGACACGTAAGGAGAGGTTCAAGGTGCAGGAGCTGCAGGGGAGCGTGAAGCCGACTTAGACCCTGTGAAGGCTACGAGGAGCAGGGGAGCAGTGCGAGTGGTGTTCGTGGTTGACGAACCACAGGGGAGATTGTTAGGGTTGGTTCGCCCAACCACGGAACCTAAGGCGAAAGTATCTACGACGGCGGAATGACGGCGAAATGTGTGAAGAATGAGGAATGAAGAAGAGGGAGGGGGTTCACTAGCAAGCAGTTGAGTACATATAGCAAACCCTAAATTGAGTACCCCACTGCAGGCTAGACAACCATAACATTCTGACACACCCCCATAGCCAAAGTGGGGTGTAATCAGCACAACAAGCTCAGGGTGGATCACAATGTCACCACACAATCTGAGCACAAGTACAAGAAGCAACAGTTTAAAGTTCACAAATGTAAGCAAAGCTAGAGGCTATCACCGAGGGCAAGTGTGGAGGAGGAGGGACTATGAGAGGAGAGGAGGTAGTGGGCGGCAGCTGAAGCTGCTGGCACACGGCGCAACTGGAGCAACTGGCAGACGGGCAACTGGAGCAACTGGCACACTGGCAACTGGAGCAACTGGCACACGGGCTACTGGAGTAACTGGCTCCGCGGCTAACTCTGAGCGGCAGGAGCAACGGACTCACGGGCGACTGGAGCAACTGGCTCACGGGCGACTGGCGCAACGGGCTCACGGGCGACTGGCGCAACGGTCTCACGGGCGACTGGAGCTGCGGGCTTCACGGCGGCCACCCCCCTTCAACCTCCCCAAACTATCCCACCCCCTTTTCACACACCCCCTGCTGCACCCTAGGTTCACTCACACCCCACCCCCTAGCACCACTCCGTCGACTCCCACACACCCACCCCCCTCAGCGGCAGCTGCAGCAGTGGGAGACAGAGGAGGAGGAGGAGCAGGGGAGACCACACACCCGCCACCCCCTACTCGCCACCCCCAAACCCTAACACAGGGCAGGGCGGGATGGCGGGTAGGGAGGTTACGGGGGGGGGGAAGGGGGGGGCCGACGCGCGGCCTCCCAGGGCGCCAAAGCAGGCGGCAGAGGGGGCGACGCTCGCCCCCCCCCCCCGGTCGCCGCGGCCCCCTCAGGTCGTCTCGACAGGCGACGGGAAAAGAGGGGGGGGGGGCGGTGCACGGGTCCCCGGTGCGCCGCGCCAGGCGACGGAGCATGGCCGGGGCGGGGCCGGGGCAGGGCCGGGGCAGGGCCGCGACAGGGTCGGGGCAGGGCCGGGGCAGGGCTGCGACAGGGCCGCGACAGGGTCGATAGGGGCGGCGACGGGGCCGGTAGAGGCGGCGACGGGGCCGCTAGGGGCGGCGACGGGGCCGCGAAGGGGCCGCGAGGGGCCTAGAAGGGCGGCGACGGGGCCGGTAGGGGCGGCGACGGGGCCGCGAAGGGGCCGCGAGGGGCCTGGAAGGGCGGCAACGGGGCCGCGAAGGGGCCGCACGAGGGGCCTGAAAGGGCGGCAACGGGGCCGCGAAGGGGCCGAGAGGGGCCGAGAAGGAAAATGCGGTCGCACGCCACGGGGCTTGCAGCAGACAGAGTAGTAGCGGAAGCAGTTAGGTGGGCCCACAGGCCAGGAGCGTAGATGCTCTGATACCATGTGAAGAATGAGGAATGAAGAAGAGGGAGGGGGTTCACTAGCAAGCAGTTGAGTACATATAGCAAACCCTAAATTGGGCTGTACTCACTATTGAGTACCCCACTGCAGGCTAGACAAACATAACATTCTGACAAAATGGAAGCGCGTGGATGATTCTAGGTGAAACGGTGGAAATCGGCCTACGGCGTGAGAAGGGAGAGAGAAATCGAGAAGGGATGTGTGAGAAGGTGGAAGAAGCATCGAGATTGAAGTTGGCGAGGGGAAATTGTGGTTCGAGCTCGAGGCGTGTTCGAGAAGGTTCCAGATTCGGTCTTGAGGAGTGTTCACCGAATTCGGTTCGGTTGCGTGTGCGACTCGGGGTGAAACGAGGCGCACGCGGTTACTTGGGAAACAAGTGAAGTTACGAATCGCATTTTGTGTCTTGCCTGACTATAAAACTGTTTGTACTCATTCTGGAAATACAACATTGGACAACATTGAGAGTCTGAAAATTGCTGAAGTGTGTATTGACAACTTCAAGCAGAGCTGCGCATATCATTGGATTCGGGAGATCGTGGAGAACACGATAGGCGATAGCAAGT